GGGAGTTGGGGGGTCTTCTTAATGGTATTTATTGATATTTGTGTACATATATTGAGGATATAAAATGTACAATTAAATCAGCTTTTTTAAATGGGGCTGTTTTTCTATCCCCATCCAAAGCAAGCAAAGATAAACAGGAGGCATGCAAAGATAAGAAGGCAAGGCACCAAGCAAGGCTTCTTGTCTGCAAAGGTCCCACAGCCTCCTCTGCCCACAAGCACTGACTGCCAAAGTAGGTTCTTACAAGCATATCATATACTAGTGTTGGCTACTCAAAAAAACACAATTCAGTTGTACATTGGGAATGCTGGGTACATGTATATCAGTCAATATCTTTATGACCCCCCAACTCCCCTGCATGACTAGAATTCTTTTTGAATTTGCTTTCAATTCATGTGCGAACAATACTAAAGTGTCTGTTGGGGACCAAGTTATAGCTGTTAGAGTGAGTTTACCCTTACTTAATCCTCTACGTGTATTTTCTACTGTGCATTGATTTTGGGCTATCTTTTTACATATAATGACTCTTGGGATTAAAAATTTGACTTGTACTACTSGTACAGCAATAGCACGTGCACATAAAACTATTTGGTCGCACACTGGTGGGATTAAAAAATTCAGCACATGCCCAGCTGTAAAGTGCAGTACAAGCCAGTTTTTTTAGTCAAAGCAGTCATTACATGCAAAATAAGGGCCCAAAATCAATGCATGTATTGTAAATTTTCTGGCTGAGCCTATACAACAATAGGTAACATGGAGACAAGCTCCCAAAGCAATTGAGTTAATCAAGCAGCAGCAAATTGATCCAGGAATTTGATGGAAGATTCAAATAGTTATGGATAGGTCTGCTCCCCCTCCAAAACCACCACATGCTCCCTCCCCTGTGATACTCTGTAATCTGTCCCCTCAAGTACAGGTTGTTCTCAATCACAACTGCAACTGGGTGGAGGACTGGGAATGTGATAGGAAGCCACCAACAGCATGCAACAAAGAATTCAGCAAGACCTGGGCTGGTTATTTAAAAAGACCTGCTTGAAAAAAGAAGATCTTGCAAAGGCAATCAAGAAGGTCCCTTGGTTTGCAAACCTCTGCTTCCTCCAAAGATGAAGGTCAGGGACAAATGGGAGTAGTTCCTTGAGATCTACAGGACTACAACAAGGAGGGAAAATGACTACATTCCTTGCACTCAGTGTGCTAAAGAGTTTGCTTCTTTTGACAAGTGAGGGATTCCCAACTCAATGGACTGGTCCTTCTTGTGGGACTCAGATGACTATGGAGAGGACTATGAGGACTTATATGTATCTAATGTTAGCTCTGTAATTGCTGAGTAGCTATCTAGATGCTGCAACAAAGGAGAACAACCAATCAAATCAAAATCATCATCCAAATCAGAAGCTAAAGAAGGAACTGATTCAGCTGTATGAGCAGGAACGGACCAGGAACTTGGATCAAAGTAGTAGATCTGGCCATATTCAAAGTTCCTATTATTTGTTAGACTACTTCCATCGGTGCAATCACTCCACTACCACTGACTGGGCTGAACTTAGTACTAGTACTATTAGCAGTTGGGAGATCGAATTTGATGAGTTCACTGTTTAAAGTCAGTAAATGCTTGGTGAAACAGCACAATTGTTGCCACTTCTACTACTAGCAGTGTCTTCCTTCTCATCCTTTATATTCAATAAGTATTTCATGTACTTAAAGTTATCTTTTGGCTCATCCTTGCTTGGAGGAATTCAGTTTCTCTGCTTTTTTGCCTTCTTGTCATTTCTCACCTTGGAACAGTAATCACCTCTTCCAAGACCAAACCATTAATAGTTGTTATAGTTGGTGTGACAGAACTTGTAGATTGAATTGCCATTGCAATCCCTCTTCTTACAACAGTATTACAAAGAGGGACTCCGCACAGCTTGCATGTGCAGTAGGTTCCAGCACCACACATGGAACAAATGTTTTTACTCCTTGACCTGGTAGGCCCAATTGCCTTCAGATGTGTTGTGTTCTCAGTCTGAGTGAAACAAATCCAACCGTTTGTCTTGTTCTCTGCAATGGTTTGTAAGTTGTGATATACCACCAGCAGCAACTTCCCATTCTTAAGGAGAGTCTTCCAAGCCTTCCTCCTAGCTGCTCTTCTTCTTTTAACCCTTTTTGACCCTTTGAGTGGCTTCTGTGTGTTACCTCAGTCTACTATCACAGTGATATAGTACCTGTTCATCAGGATCTTATCTTATCATCTGGAACACAAGCCTTTGCCTGAATTCACAATAGCTCATGATTATACTCACCTTCCATTCTTCACAAAGACTGCCATCACACCTCTCTGTACATGTTATAAGCTGTGGCAATAGCCAAGGCTTTTGCATTGTTGATAGAAACATGATAGTACTACTTCCATGATTTGTAACCAATTCTAGCTCTAGAGATGTAGGCATTTATATGATCCAATCTGCAACAGCTGTAGAGATAAAGCTCTTGAGACTCCTTCATTTCATAGATAGGGATGACAAGTGCCCAGTATGCTTTGGAAGGAGCATGGACCCTCCTGTAAGCATTTGTTTCCTATTCAGGATCAGCCTCCACAGTCTTCCAAGTCCAGAGGCCTTCACTCTTCCCATAAGGATTCTCCTGCCACATTCTTCTTGTGGAAGTATCTACTGCGCACTCCTGAAGGCAACGTATTCTTAGTCACAGTTCCCATCGTCCCCAATCCTTGCTCTCCCATCTAATCCAAGATAGAGTCTGATAGGAACAAATTATCAGCTGTGACAACATGAAGAGCGAGGAGATTCCCAAATCTTTCCAGATCCAATGTTTCCAAGAACAAAGCTCTTTAAAAAAATAAATATTAGATTTAACCTTGTGAACTAGAAGAGGGGCTATGTGGGCCAGAACCAGACCTTCTGTGGAGAAGAATGCTCCTAGCTGCTCCAAGGGATGGTGCCTCCCTCCTAGGACAAGTGGTTGTGGAGGCGTGACCATGTTTGTTGGTGGACTGGTTAGTGAGCTAGTTGAAAATTGAGCTAGTTGAAAGTTGGGTCATAGTAGTTTGGATGGTCCATTTTTAACAGCAGAGGCCAGAGGAGTCTCTGACAAGGCAGGCATTTTGTGTTTTCTCTTTTTGGAGTAAGCATCAAAGACCAACCCACCTTGTGTGATGCTCTCCAGTGGTTGTTTACTATGAGGCAATGTTTAAAAATACTGAGTCATAGGGTGCATGTTGGAGGAGGACACAAGGGAGGCATGGCAGATGCTGCCATAAATAGTTCTCTCATATCCTTAGAGGTAATACAAGATTGAGGAGGTGGGAGCATTAGACAGGAATGTTTCAGGATCTTCTGGGAATAAATGAGCCTGATAGGGACATGTCTTTGTTTTCTGGGCCAAGAGAGTGCAGACTTTCATTAGTAACTATTGTCATTTCAGTGCTTGTTTCTGAGAAAGAGTGTAGCTGTGAAGGTTTTTATTTTGCTGTGGGCACAGAAAAATATAAGAAGTAAGGAAGAATTCCACAAGAAAATCCCCCAGCCCAGTTGGGGAGAAGAACAGAGCTCTTAACAATGTGGTGCACTTCAGCAGGCCCCATACAAGAATGCCTTAGATCTTCACTGTTCCATTCACAATATCTGTGCTTCCAACCCCTAGGTCTGATCCTATCCATGTCAGACATGATAATACTAGTTTGCCCTCCACATGTAATCATCTTCTGTTTGACATAGTTGACAAGGGGGAAGCTATAGCCTTAGTATGGCCAACTAGTCCCATCAATTCAAAGGTCTAAGCCTACTCTCTCAGTGAAATAGTTTGTGTTGCTGATAATGCTGTGAAAGATGAAGTCAAACTTGTATGCCACATTGTCACCATTGGGGGATCCAGGGAAGGGCCATTCCAAATTGTTGTTGCAGAGCTTCAAGTTCCATTTAATCTCAAGCAATCTGGTAAGAGTCATGGTGTTTGCAATATCCTCATTGAATGAAAGATCCTTTGCATCCCATCTGAATGTGATGTTTTCACTTGCTCCTTCACAAGCCCCCATGCACAAAGAGGATCTCACCAAACTGAAATGCTTCAGTCAATGTAACTGGCCTACTTTAATCTCCTTTCCCTTCATTAGCATCAAAGATGTACATATTAGTGTATTTCATGACCTTGTTGTAATAAGTATGCTTCTTCTCTGGTTTAACTTGACACTGCTGAGCTTCTCGCAAATCTGGAGCAATTGGGAGCAGCAACTGATAGTGAAAAAAGAATCTCCATTTTCAATCATATCATCTTGTGTCAGTCCATGCTGTTAGAGTTTGAACATACCCAGTTTGCCCTTCCTCTTGTCTGGAAACATATTACTACCTCTAGTAGCACTCTTCCTTGCAAACTAGTAATTGTTAGGATCTTCAACTGAACCATCCCATCCAAGATAGTAGTAGAACTCCCATCTATTCTCTGTAAGCTCCCAGGCAGGTTCCTCTCCAACAAGAGCAGCTAAGGATCTAGAAACTTCAACAGACTTGCATTCAGAAAGGAAGATAGCGGCTGTTTTACTTCCCGCTTCCTATCTCAAATTTAGGTCTGAAGTAATAAGGATGCCACCCACCAGGGTTATTGACACCCATCCTATCTACTATTTCTCCTGTGGCAATCTTGAATTCTTTTCTTTGATATCCTTGTGGAACCATGGGGCAGTTTATACTGTTGTCAACAATGGCTCCATTCTTCCAAGGAAAGAACTCAGTATCATGAGGTTGAACAGATATCCCAATCAAATGCTTCCCTCTTCTTGCTCTGTGTAATTTCATTAAACAGCTCTGGTTGTGCTTCTTCCTTGTTACTCATACCTCAATCACAAAAAATTGTGACAATTTCTTGATCACAAGTTTTTGTGATCAATTTTGATCACATTTTTTTAAGGGAATAATAATAGTACATATGCCATTACTAATTAATGTTATTCATGTATGAATATACTGCACGTGGGATTACAATTCATATATATTATATTCATACATGTATATTTATTGATTTTTTATGCTTGCAGCAGTAGCATGACATGTGTGGGCATCATTAGGAAGGCATAGTACTATCTACAGGACTGATGGGTTTCATTTGAGTAGTACTACTACTAGTACTACTAGTACCACTACTACTAAGGTGTGTAAAATACTATTATTTATATTTAGATATTAAGATCTAATACTATATTAACGGGACTAGTAGCAATTCTACACAAACAGGTCAAAATTTGTCATCAAGATTGATCACAAACAACAGATCACAAATTTGTTGTTTCTGATCACATTTTTTGTGATCAAATCTGATCACAATTTTCCGGGACCAGGACGGAGGGCCTGGGAATCTAAATTTTCCCCCAAAAATTGATTTCGACATGGTTCCGCTATGATCCAATAATTTTTGTCCTGTACATGCGCCTCACGAGAACTTGTTCTACACGCGTACGATTCCCAACACTTCAAGTTTGAAATTGAAGTTTCGCAATCCAAAAACTCGAAAAAATCATGCCACTTGCTCTGTGTTGTCAAAAATGGTATCATTTCAGTTGGCAAGGAAATTCTGTTTTGTCATTTGGTCAAGTCGTTGTTACAACAAGTATTGCTGCCAATTATTTCCCCCTTATTTATACAATGGCGCTGAAAAAACTTTTSATACCGACAACATTCTGCCTTGTGCTGTTGGGGATTGTTTCCGACACCGCCTTGGCGTTTGTCCCATCGAAAAGCACTGGGACCGCAACTCAGACTAGGCTTCCCTCTCAGCTTGGGGTCGGAGTTGTCCCAAGTACGGCCGAAGCCATTCAGGAAATGTCCAACGCAAGGTTCGCATTCGGAATGTGCTTCTACGGAGCCCTCGGCATTGGGTCGATTGGGCGGGAACTTATCCCAATTGTGTTTGGCAGGTACCAAACGACGAGCTCTCTGGAAAGCGATGGTAGCATCGCCGTTCGCAGTGGTAGTGCCGTCGCTAACAGCGACGAGGATCTCAGAATCTGGGGTTATCCCGAAAAAATCTACAAAAAAGATGTCGAAATGATACTGAACAACAAGCTGACGCCCCTGGCCATTGCCAAGAAGTATCCCATTGCTCGAGACGAGGACACCGACCCGAGTTACGAGTACACACATTTGACGGAAGCTGTTCCCTTTTTGGGATACGAGGGATTCGTAAAGGCAAACCCCGGGGCGAATCCTGTCGCGCTCCGGGCCGTCTTTGACAGTTTTTCCAACAGCATTGGTGGCTCCAACGCTGTCTCGCCGATTACGGCCCAGCGGAACATTGAGACCTATTTGGACAACAAGAAGGTCACTGGGGCACTGGCCAAGAAACTGAACGGGGGAAAGTCTCTCGGAATTGCTGCCTTTGTCTTTCTGTTGATCCTGTTGGGGGTTGGAGACGCGCTGGCGATCTTTCACCTGTGGAAGGGCTGGTTCCCGGAATGGCAGGGATTTAGTGACATCCCCGCGTCGCTCTTTGACCAGAATATTGGAATTGCAGTCCTGCCGAATTTCTTTGTCGGGGATGTCCCCCCAATTCCATAAGAAACCAACCAGCCAACCGATTGACGCGAATTCTGTTTGTGGAAAAGTTTCGATTTCGCATTGTGAATACCAGATTCTTTTTTTGGACGAGGAAGGGGACCACTCTGGTTCACTTTTGTTGTCGAGACGGAACCTTTATTTCTCAAATCTAGTCAAGGAATAGAAGAGATGGCGCAGCCATTGCATCTACCTCAGGCAAATAGCTTGATCTAGTATCAGTTGAATGATATGTATTTTGATAATTTGAGTCTGTAGGACATTGTGGCGAGGCTTGGGAATGAAAGGCTTGTCCTCCATGCGTTCATTCCAATTCAAACCAGAATAGCTCCCTTTCAAAAATTCAAAAACTCCTTCTTTAAATAGGCTAATGGATTGTTTCTGTTGTTTCAATTGTTATCATCGGATATGGCATTGTTGACCTCAGTTTTTGAGAAAAACAAAAGGTTGGGGTTTGGCTGGTACTAGGGAACTAAAACATCCACAATCTCCACCTCGTCACTACTACTGCTGGTAATATTCTGCTGTAATTACTGTTGCCATTCATATACACTTTGTTATTCATAATGATATCAAAATTGTTTATACTACTATGATCACAATCACTGTCACACATTAATGAAAAAAATCGTTGGATAAATACTTCGCACTTTTCTCACTACTAGTATTGGTGGCAGCTGGTGTTTGCAAAAACCATTCTTTGCTTTGTGACAACAGAATAGAAATGCTGTGTCCTTTTACTATGCACTTACTATTTCTGGGATAGGGTATTGAGAGACATGCTCCAAAACTCTTGGTAATATATCAAAAGTTGGTACAATGATCAAGTGTTTCAACAAACTATGCAGAGTGATACCAAAACAAGACACAAAGACCTCCCCCGCCACCACCACCAGTATGACCACCATCACATGTGCACTGGTGTGTTCCTCCCCCACCCCCACAAAAAAGACTGCACTGGCATCACCAGGAGCACTGAAAGTTCCTCCTTTAGATCATCCAAAAATTGCAAAAGTTGTGTCAGATAAACCAGCTCCTTTGTCAACCACCAACACTACTATTGTTGAGTATACAAAGACAATTTGAAACAAAGTGAACACCTTCAACACTTTTGGGGGTGATGAACACCACAAGGCAGAGGTGAAAACAAAGAAATATGCAAATACAATCAGAACTATTCAAAAACATGAAAAAAAAATGCATCTGCTACAGATTCAGAAAATATGATCCAGGAGACAAATTCTGGATAAGACCTTCACAAAGAAAATTCTAACGGAAGATGGACTGACTGAGGATTATTTATTCTACAAGCACAAAAATGGAAAAACTAATGCTGTGAGTAGTAAGCAGATGATAGATCAAGCACTCAAAATTTGGGCAAGGCATCTGAAAGAATACCAAGAAGGGTGCTTCCCTGGACACTAGCACAATGAGTGTACCTATCCAGCAGCTCTTTGTTGCTCTGCACAAGAGAGGAGATGTCTGGTTCAAGGAAGGCAATTCTAAAACAAAGGGGGGTTTCTTTAAAAAATCTTAATATTATTTTTAATCTTGTGAACTAGAAGAGGCACTATATGGCCAGAGCCATAACTTTGGGTGTAAAGTATGCTCCTAGCTGCTCTGAGGGGCGGCACTTCCCTCCAGAGAGTTTTGGTGGAAGTGCAACCAGGATGGGAAGGAGTGACAAAAGGAGCCAAAGAAGTGTCTGGCACTGCAGGTTGTTTATGGTGTTTCTTTTTGGAGTAGGCATCAAAGACAAACTAATCTTGTGTGACACTCTCTGGTGTTTGTTTACTATGAGGCAAAGGTGGGAAATACTGAGTAAGAGGGCGTGTGTTGGAGGTTGATGTGAGCAAGGCCTTGCTGACACTTGCAAAGGAGGGGTTCTTATTGTCATTAACCATGATTATAACAACAAGCAAGAAGCTGATCCTTCCATCAGAACCAAGAGGACTAACACTGAGTTTGATGAATTTGTTGATGAGTAGTTCTGGAAGGTGTTAGCTGATGATACCTATAAGTCTTACTAGAACATGCAAGACTTGGTAAAGCCAATGGCTACAGAACTTGGAAGACAGTTTGGAATAAGGGGAGGAACTGAGCTTGTCTCTTGTGGAGCCATCTGCAGATGGGTACCTTCAAGAATGGATGCATGGCTGTATTATAGTATGCAATCATTGCTCCAGGAGGGGATTTTGACAAGTCGCACCAGCTCTCAGTTAATAATCCAAGTAGAACAAAACAGTTCTCCTCATGGAAGACCCTGACAATCCAAACAGTATTGTAAAGCTAATCCACCTCTATAATGAGAGTTGTGATCCAAAGCAAGATAGATTTCTATGTCATCCAAACTTGAAGAAGAAGAATAACCCATATTACTTCAAGAGCTCCTCCCCTGTAGGAATTTGATCAGTTTAGACCTGGGTTAGATTTCAAGGATTAGGAGAAGGATACACTGCTGCACAACAAGAATAGGCATTGTTGCTGCACTTGTCGGTAGAGTTCGTATTGAGGAGAGATCACGCCTAGAAAATTATCACCATGGTGGTGATGAATTTTATTGGAAGGGTGTCATAACCTGTGGGAGTGACTGTCCTAAAAGWGATGTAAAGTGTGTGCTAGTAGAAAAGTGAGTCAATGCTCTTATCGAGGATCGACGACCTATGAAAACTAAAATGGATCACTGTGAGGATCGAGTGATGTGTGAATCGAATGAGTCGAGTCACTCACGCAAGTGAATGAAATGAGTCATGTCGATTATATGAATCCAGTGGGATTGCGTGAGTCATATATGTATGGTGTGTATGAATCGTAGATACGTATCGTATGTATGTATCGTATATATGAATCATACCTACGGTCTGATATCCTACAGACAGCAGCACTATCCTTGCCTCTGATCTTGCTGTTCCAGAAAAGATATGGATGAATCATCTTAGACACAAGAGTAGCAAGTCTGCCAAGCCTTATATTCATCAAAATTCTGTAACACAACAAGTTGTACAGGGTGTCCTCAATAGTGGGCTCCATGGTGTACTAGAATCAAGAATTGCCCATCAGTCTCCTCAGCAAAGGAGGGAGGAGAGGAAAAAAGAGAAGGGGACAAGGTCTTTGTGCTTTTTCCTCCAAATGGCAGAATAATCAGCAGACAGCACCATCAGCTGCAACAGCAAAAGAGTGCTTGGAGGTGATGCTATTGTTGTTGCAGCATCCTTGCCCACTGATTCCAAGCCCCCACCAGTTACACAGGAAACAATAACTCCAACTAAGGGCATTCTGAAGCAGAAACAACTCGGATATGGCAAAAAAGGAAACAGAAAAAGGAAGGACGAATCTGATGAGATTAAGCAAGCAGGAAAGAAGATCTGTTGTCAACTGGAAGATGCCCCAAAACCTTGCTTGGATCTCAACAAGAAGCTTTCATTACTTGCAGATGACTTGCAAGAGAGGAAACTGTAAGAAAAAAATCAGGAGGCAAAGGATAAATATAATCATATAGAGCTTGCATGGGGAAGAGCAAAAGAGCACAGTTTGAAAAAGAACTGAAGATGATCCAGCACTTCAAAGACATTGAGGAGGCATGTTGTGGAGTCCAATCATCCTGTTTGACTATGTGAATGACAAACAGAATCAAATGAACAAGCTCTCCTGTGTTTCTTCTTGTAGTATCTGGTCTCAAAAGTGAGCAAAAAGTTTTATTTTGAAGATAAACTTTGATTTGAAGTAAACAATTTCAAATGTCCTGGTAGAAATTCCACTATTTTCCACTGTTCTAGTTTTTGGATGGCATTTGTGATTGAAGGGCCAGGAATCATTTTGATACATGATTTATGAGCAAAAGTTCATAACTTCAATTTCAAACTTTTTGCTCATTTCTGAGACCATATTCAATTGTTATGAAACACATAGTATTTCATGACAACCAGAAAGGAGGAAAAATGACAGATATTTTTGTAAGAATCAGTAAACAAATATAGAATTAGGCAAACTTGTTCTTGTTGCTTCTTGGCACCAGTATCATCTGTTGAGCCTCCAAATGGCTCACAATGTAGTGCCAATACAAGCAAAAATCAAGCAAACTCAAGCATTACATATATAATTGGCAAGCTACTCAGTGCCAGTGCTTGCGGTAATCAAACCTTGGTCTTGGTCTTGAGCAAACCTCTTGTCCCCACCAGCCTCATTTTGGTTACTGCAGCAGTAGTAATCCAATTCCAGCCTTGGTCTCAAGCTAATGCTTTCATCCTTGGTGTCAGTTAGATTGCTAAAAGTAATCCTGCCCTCTGATTTTGGTGGCTTGTGCCCTCCCTATCATTTTCCATTTAGACAGGGACAGACACGTGCAACCAAAACTGGCTCTGAGTACTTACCAGAGAGTACCAAATTCCTTTAGAGGAGCTCCTTTTCCTTAGCCAGTGTTGAGAAGAGTGGAGGCAACCCTTGCTAGCTAGTACTGTTAATGGTTGTTGCTGCTTTGTTGCTGCTTTTCTAGGGGAACAAGAATAAACCTAAATGGCTGTGTGATTTATGTAGGGGTAGTGCAAGTTGGTACAGGAGTACCACTTTTAAAATGCATGACTCAGTAGTAGAATCTGCAGACACTCTACACTGTCGTGCTGCTTGTTTTTTGGATTTCACTTGAAAAACTGCTACAGCTGCAATATTTATGAATTAAATATAACTCTCTTTCAAACATTTCTTTATGTTAGCACAAGACCACACATAAAAATTTCCTGATCTCCCTGAAGGGTATTTTTTAGAGTATACCAGATGAAATACAATGTATGTACATTGCAAGTAGCTTGCTGATTATAACAAAATACAAAATCACCATCAGTGACAGGAAGGAAAAAGAAAGAATGGACTATCATATAGCCATGGCAATTAAAAAACCTGATTTAATCATACATTTTTTATGCTCAATAGGACACAAATATAGATCAATATCACTAGGACCCCCCACCTCCCCCATACGACTAGAATGTTCTTGTTTAAATAAGCTTTCAATTCATGTGCCTATCATACTACTGTACTTAAGTGTCCATCGGGGACCAAGATACAGCTGTTAGAGTGAGTTGACCCTTATTCAATGCTCTATGTGTATTTGTACTGTGGGTTGATTTTGGACTATCTTTTTACTGTGTAATGACTCATGGGATTAAAAATTTGGACTGATAGAAGCATGTGTTAAAGTTGGAATTGCAAAACTACTTGGTGGCACAACTGGTGGGATTTAAGAAATTAAACACTACTACTACTAGTAGTACTCAGAAGCATGTGTATTTTGTACGCGTTTAGTTTTTTAGTCAAAGTAGTCATTACATGCAAAATAAGGGCCCCTAATCTGCGACTGCTGTATCCTATGTTTGGGAGCCATGTCTATATGATACAGTGTTATGTCCTACTTTGGAGAGCAGAGCTACTACTAAGTACGATTCCCATGCTGGTGGCAACAAGTTTTTGTCAATTCCTTGGCTATCATTTTTTTCATTTTCCCATTTTCATTTCTCCCCCCCTTTCCACATACAAAAAACTACAATTCCCTAAATATTCCTATTACTGCTGGTCCTTACTACTGGGGATATGATATCAGTGGTTACTACTTGAAAATTTCCCTTAGTGCTTACCACTGGATAACCTTTATTGTTACTAGTACTACTACTCACTACTAGTGACAATATTATAGTACTTCTACTACTAGTAGTGAGCACTGCAAACTGTTGGGTAAGGCTCCTGTTGTTTTTGTGCTGCTCTGCTCTGGTAGAGAGGAGAAGTACCTCACAGTGCTAACTACTATAACATCCCCACTAGTATGAAGTGGTAGTAGATGTTATCCAGTAGTAGTAAGTGCTAATGGAAATCTTCAATTAGTAACCACTTGATATTATATCCCCACCAGCAGAAGTAAGGACCAGCAATAGAAATATCTAGGGATTAGCAAGAAATTGAATATTGAATTTTTTTTTGTCTGTTAGAGGCTTCTTTTAACTTTTCCCGTTGCGTGTTGCCAAATGTTGCCACTCACAACTGCTCACTAAAAAAGGAAGAAACTAGTTTTTACATTTTTGCCAACTAGGATTTTTTCTGGAGTCTAAACATGTTTAAGAAGAAAGTAAAGTAAATTCAGTAAAAAACTTAAAAAATTATTATTGGGAGGAGAGGTGGAGAGGGTAAAAAGTTAACTGGTTTTAATGATATTGCCAACAAAAACTTGTCAGCATGGGAATTGTACTTAGTAGTCTTTTTTAAAAACAACAATTGGTCTTTCTTTAAATAAGGGATTGGGAATGTGAAATTAACCTTCTGAATGGTACTTTTCTTAATGTGCACAATGTTGTTAATTTAACATTTGGAATGTTATCATATTACCGTACTAGCTACTAGTACTACTAGGCCTACATAGATCCTCAGGATCAATACTAGGCTAGTATCCCCATTCTTTAATGTTGTAGTGGGCTACCTTCCCAAAGTAATTATTTAAGTCATGCACATGCCTTAAAAAACAAAGAAAGGGTCTAAAAATGAGGAAGAAGGGCTGTAAGGGCATCCTCCTCTGTTAACATTTGGAATTGTGGTACTACTAGTAGTAGTAGTAAGTGAAATGTGGTGAAGTTAGTACATTACATTCAAGCAACACCCCAGCAGTATCAATTTCTACTACATAGTACGCCTTCGGTGATAACATTTGAAATGTTAATTTAAAATTCCTTATCCCTTATTCAAAGAAATTTCAATTGTTGTTTTACACAGTATTGGGGAGGGTCTGTTGTACTACTGGCACTACTACTAGTAGTACTTCTTCGAAAATACAATTTTCACGGTAAATAGTATTGTTGCCATCAGTTTTTCCCTCTCTGCTAGAGAGTCCGCTTCTTGTTGTCCTTTTCCAGTGCTACTATGAGTTTCATAACAATTGAAAAGGGGCTCAAGCAGCGCGCAAGTGCTCTCGCCAGGAAATTTTAGTAAACTTTGATTTGAAGTTATGAACTTCAGGTAGAAAGTCTACCAGGTTCTACTGAGCTAGTTTTTGGATGGCATTCATGATTGAAAGGCCAGGATTCATGATTGAATCACCTTGAACCATTTTGTTTTGTTTTGAGGGGAATTGATTTGGTCATTCAGTCATTTTAATAAATTAGCTCACTAGAACCTGGTACATGATGTAGTATGAGCAAAAGTTCATAACTTCAAATTGAAGTTTTAAACTTCCAATCAATACTTTTTGCTCTCTTGCGGAGTCCGGTTTCAATTGTTATGAAACTCGTAGTACAGTATCTTCTTTTTGTTACCTCTACCTTCTACGGTACGGTTCCGTCATCGGCAGTGGTATCGCACTGTACCATACGTATTGATTCTTGGTAGAAAGATACTATTAATAAGGTGTCAAGGAGCAACTCGTACGGTACGATCCTTGACATAAAAAAGAAACAGCGAGAACAAAATGTTTCTGCTGCGTGTTCTCAGGTTTGCCTTGACATATCTACTATTTCCGACTGTCGTTGAAGGATTTGTTTCAAACAAGCTCTCTGACATGGCAGGGAAAAAGCAAATAATTCAAATGAACGACAAAGATCTTTCGACTGGCGCTGCGGAACCAGCCGCCGCATCGTCTGCCTGTCCCCATCCGTTCACACAGCTCCCAGGGGATCCATCTCTAGTGTTGGTAACAAATCTGGATCTTGGCACCAAGAAACTTGACGTGATGAAGAAGGTCTCGAAGGCCATCAGCGAAACTACGGGCAAACCAGAATCCTACATCGGAGTTTCCATCACTGACAACGCAAGCGTGATTTTTGGGTATGTCAAGTCTTTCTGTCTTATCCTCATCAAAACATCGCTGTTGACGCTAGGAAGGAGTTCCGTTTTGTGTATTGTCGCTCGCACTTCTACATCACTTACAAATTTTGCTTTTTCATTGCAATCCATTCCAAAATATGTTTTGCCACCGTCATTCACCCATGCTAAACACATGCAATTCCTATTCAAATCAAAAGAGGATCCGACAAACCTTGTGCACTCGGAAATTTGTACAGCATCGGAGCAATTTCAATGGAGAACAACGGGCAGATGCAGTCGAAAATTACTGATATTTTGGAAGAGTTCGGGTTGAAGGAGGATAGAATGTACATCAACTTTTGGGACATGCCCAGAGCAAACGTTGGATGGTCACGACGCACGTTTGCTGGTTGATTGGGATGACTATGAAGGATTGTGTCGAAAAAAGTCAGTGTGGTACGTTAGGAATGTATTAAAATATGCGCATGTATCTTTCAAAAGAAATCGAAGATTCGAAGTCTTGGGTAATTTTTAATAAATATTACTTGCACTGGTATTAGCGTCGACAAAATTTTTATTCTTTTGGACCAGTACTTTTAGTTTTGATCGTCGCCATCGCCGTCGCTGTCATCGTCGTCGTCGTCGTCATCCTCATCAGTTTGAAAGAACGTGTAGCTCAGTGTCACGTCGGTGACGTAGCTTACTTGCGGGTCGTCAAGCATCTCCGGATCTATGAAGAAAAAAACCGGCATATCCACTGTTTCTCCTGGAAGAAGTCGCTGCTCTTCGAAACAAAAACATTGAATCTTTTGAAAATATAAACCCATTTTGGGTGGATATACATTGTAGGTCGCAACTCCAGTAATTGCTTTGTCGGAGTGATTCTTTACACGGAAGAACGACAACGCCGTCTCTCCTGGGACAACCTTCACATCCAGCGCTATTGGCTGAAAGCTCCAGGGCATGGTGTCATTCACGGTCGAATCAAATCGAATCGTAACGAGGTTGGCATTTTGGACTGGCCGTAGAGATGCCAATTTCTGAGCAGCTTCTTCGTCCGTCCATGTATGTACCTTCGCCGAAGATTTGGGAGCGATAGTCTGAACCAGTGACCGCATTGTTTTCTCTAGGGCACTTGGTTCTTCCCCATCGAAATTCACTCGTTGCGTAGTCCCACCAAAGCCTGTCGCCTGGCAAAAAACCTTGTACAACGGCACAGAAGCGTAGGCTGCGCCAAGTGCCCCAACCACTACTGCGGTCATGTACCAAGCGACCTGAATATTGCGTTCTTCGGCCGACAGCCTCCTATTTCGTTGCCCATTCCCAAACCAGGACCCTTGGCGCTGTCTGCGATAATATTCGTAGGATCGATTCTGAGCGTTTTGTGGTGGTGGTTGCTTTCTCACTGCCGACGTATCATCGGCGATGGCACGTCTTCTACACCTGGAAACGAACAAATTTGCATTATCATTCCGTGACGTACGGAGAACGCCAGATCGTTGTAATCTCGAAGCCCACATACCCAGATACACAGACGTAAAGACTGCAAAATCGTTTGATTGCGAAGAAGAGTTTTGTGCAGGTTTACAAAACGAAAGCGATGATTTCTGTTTTCTTTTGAACAGGGTCCGTAAGGTCTGAAAAGTATATCGATTCTCTAAAAATGCTTGCAACCTTGCTCCGTGCTCGTAGTTTCTTTGAAGAAGATGACAATACTAATGCTGCGTCTGCTGATGATGATTCATTTCATTCATTTTTCAAGTTTTCCATCCTTCTTCGTTCAAAAAACACGGTACGTAGTACTTCGTATTATTAAGGTACGTTTGTATTCTGTGTACGTATGAGTACAACTGCAGGGACGTTACGAAACGAAGCATTACCAGTTACCTTAAGCTACTGTACCCAAGACTACTCCGACTAAGTAAATATGCTCATATCCTACTTAGTACTTCCTCCGTCCATGAATGATTGTCCAGTTTGCACCTCTACGCTTGGAATAAGCTCAATATTTGGGAAATTTGACTGCTTCTTTTTGAACTAAACAGATCTACTATTAGATTGTTATACAGCCACAAAGATAATATATGTTTAATGTGACTGACGCATTGGCAACAGCTACTTAAAGGAGGCAGTTTTTAGCATATCAATGTGATTTCACCATCAGTTATGCTCTACCGGTCATTCAAAGATGATGGGACCGGTTTCTTTAAAAAGCCCAGACTGAGAGCTTAAAAATGATATACTTATCATACTTATTGATAATGTTTCATGCAGTCTTTAGATGGTCATTAGAGAGAGCCAAAAAACTGCTCGGGCGTATTCGGGCGCGTGCAGTTTTCATGTGGTTTTTTGAATTTTGATCTTGAGAGAGGAATCGAAGAGAAAAAAAGTGGTACCATTCTTACACAACCCTACTGGTTAGGGACAATCATTCATGGACAGCAAAAAAGGTCACATTGGACGGTCATAGATGAACGGAGGAAGTATACCGGTACGAGTACTTTTCCCGTAGATTTAAGGTAGTAGAAATAAAGTACTACTTAAGTAGCTTAAAAGTAGCTTTGAAGTAGCTTAAAAGTTACTTTTAAGCTACTTTAAAGAAGTAGCTGTTCTTTATGTACTAGAATAAAACGGGTATAGTATAATTTCTATATGGTAGGACCAACCGGAAAGTTACTTTAAAGCTACTTTTAAGAATATCAATATCAATATCAATATCAATATCAATATCAATATCAATACAATATCAATATCAAGGGCTGGATCTCTACCTGCTATAACTGCTATAGCTGACAAAGCTGTAGGTAAGTTGTAGCCAGCTATAGCTGTAGGTGTAGGTGTAGTAGATGAAACTGTAGATGAAACTGTAGATGAAGCTGTAGATGAAGCTGTAGATGAAGCTGTAGATGAAGCTGTAGATGAAGCTGTAGGTGTAGGTGTAGTAGATGAAACTGTAGAT